TCATAATATTAGTATAGTAGTAGTAGTAGTAGTAGTAGTAGATAGTAGATAGTAGCAGTAATAGTAGTAGTAGTAGTAGTAGTAGTAGTAGTAGTAGTAGTAGTAGTAGTAGTAGTAGTAGTACTAGCAGTAATAGTAGTAGTAGTAGTAGTAGTAGTAGTAGGAGTAGTGGGAGTAGTAGGAGTAGCAGGAGTAGCAGGAGTAGCAGCAGCAGTAGCAGCAGCGGCAGCAGCAGCAGTAGCAGCAGTAGCAGTAGCAGCAGCAGCAGCAGTAGCAGCAGTAGCAGTAGCAGCAGCAGCAGAAGCAGCAGTAGTAGTAGGTAGGTAGTAGTAATCATAAGTGTTGCTGTTGTTGGTGTGGATTATGGTTGTCGGCTACGGTGCATCTCCAGCCTGGGCTTCACTGATCATCTCCGGCAGGAGCGCCTGAAGCTCGCCAATCCGTCTCCTCAGAGCTGGGCAGCTAGGATTTGGGGTTCAGGGTTTAGGGACTAGCATCCATGGATATGTGACCCCCACAATCTCAAAGGGCTGAACCAGTCCCTTGAGATTGTAGGGCGTCACATATTAATGGCTGCTAGTCACCTGCTAGTCCCTAACGGGCTGAATCATGGGGTTTCGTCCTAGTCAATCCGAAATTAGGCTTGAGAACTTCATTGTTTGCTCTGCGATGACTACCAGGATTTCGCCCCTGCAGCAGCAAGCCCTTGGGGAATCCTGTCACTCTTACAGATACTGCCGCTTCGTCATGCTGAAACTCTCGAAAGTGGCACAAGACGGTAGAAGGCAAGTTGTCAAAACTGGGCTTGGAACTGAACTTCTCGCAGCCCATCGTCAACAAACAGCCTCGGCTCAGCAAGGACCCGAAATTTCCCTTGGGGGGAATTACTAAGACTTCTGCCCGTGAGAAAGCACCCGGGAATACACCTTGGTTTCGGCACACAGGTTGGACCGAAAATGGAGCATTCACCACGCCCCGACAACATGCCTTGTTCTGCTGGTGGTTGAACGAAAGGATGGGGAGCGTGGTCACGTTCGACGTGTGTTTAAAGACGCACAGGATGAAATCTTCCACTCCTGCATCAAGCAGCCAGCAGACTCGGCGGGTAGCAGGTGATGACAGGTATCAGAGTGACATTTTGTGGTGTCTGAGCTGTCGGCCGACAGGACCAAAGAGCGCCATCTCGTGGTAAGCAGACTTGAGATCCTTGGGAGAGGAAGAGGGATGAAATCTGCAAAAAGCCCGTTGCTCCGAGGCTTCTGAATGCAGGCGAATCCGAGGCGGCAACTTCCATCTTGACTCCCTGGCTGTGAGAGACCCGAACGCCCGAGCATTAGCTTCCGTGCTGCTTCGGTGAAACCGCGCCTGCTCATGAAGGGTGCAGCGATACTTCGAGAGCTCCTCGATCTCATCGACATCCAAACTAACCTGTCAGTCTCACGGACTCGACTCTTCACGGTGCTCGCTCACAGTTGAGCCTCTTCCATCGGCTCCATCCGCTCCTGCCATTCCTCCAGGCTCATATCCTCGCAATTCGCAAAGACAGCAAAGTCTGCAACAGGAAAGGTAATGCTCAGGCAAGGAGTGCCTTCGCTGCGTCTGTGTCTTCGACAACAGCTGGAGCATCGGCTGCTGGCCGCGCAACCAGCAACCCTTGCAGTTCCTTTGCGACCTTCTCGCTCTCAGCCTCCACACTGGTCGCCTGGCTCCGATCGCCAAGATGGAACGGCAAGGGCGCCCATCTTTCCAGCTTGAATCCAGCACCCACCTTGTCCAGCGGCACGGCCAGTGCACTCAGGATGTCGTTCCAGTCTATGTTGTCAGCAGGGGCATGGCCTTAGCTGCAACAGAAAAGGAAAGCGGGTGACCGGAGATTCTCTGGTCTAGCAGCAAGTTGGTGGCGCAGCTGAGCTGACCACCTGCGGCTCGGAAAGCCTGCTGCAGCAAATGAACAGCGGTGGAGCCGGAGCTTGTCTTAGCTGTACAGCTTTCAGCATCTTTCAGCTAGCTCGACTGCTGGCCTTGTCCAGACTCCCAACCTTCGTGTGCAGGTGAAGACGGCACTTGTGACTACTTCCCAAGCGTCTTGACTACTCCGTTGTATCATTGCCCAGCCGAAAGGCTAGTCAAACCCGTCGCTAAAGCTGCTGAAATTCGCTGCAAGATATTGACAGCCTGAAGCCTGAGACACCTGCGATCAATTGGTTCTTGCGAAAGTTCACGTGGGTGCCATCGACTTCTGCGTCACCTGGCCACCAGGTCGTCGCACAACTCCAAACTCCGGTGTGGGGGTGGAGGAATAGGAGAAGCAGCCGTCTCCGCCTTTAAGGATGATCAACTGGGTCGCGAGGACCCCACATATGACACCCGAAAGGCCTGAAGCGAGACTGACTGTGCTTCGTCTGGCTGTGAGAAAATGCTGGGTTGGGCACAGAGGCCCATAAGGAGGACAAAGGCCAAGACCTGACGAGCTACAAAGTGTCGTGGGTTCCATTGCGTTGCAGCTTAGCTTCGAGCCGTGCCGAGGAAAAGGGCAATCTGCAGCCTGTCGCCGTCATATGCCATAGTTATCTAGGTATCTTCTCCAAACGGACCACGGCACATCCTTTGCACTGACCCCATTGTCGCTCAATCTTTGCCGTACTCTCCGAACTTCTAGGGTGAGTCTTTAGGCTCTTCGAAAAGTGTCAAGGTGTGGCTGGCACAGCACAGTTCTCAAGCCCGGGCCACGTCTTGCAATCTAGTGCAGATGCTAGATCTCCCCCAAAAAAAATGCCGCTGGCTGGGCTCGGGGGAATGCCTTTCATGCCCCGACTCTTTGAAGAGTCTCAAGCAGAGCAGGCCGAGCTCGTCGGATCCAGCAATGGCCTCAGAGTCAGAGCCACAAAATCTGGCTTTCCAGGAGCTCCCTTCTTTTGGCGTCGAGCTCTCACCAGGGCAGCCGTGGCGTCGAACACGTTCCCAAAGGTGTCGAGCACTTCTCGCCTGGCAACATGACTAATCCGAGGTGTTCTGACTCGACATGGCAGATGGCAGCTGGCACATGGAAGGATGCCAGAAAGGCTTGACATCCTCCGATTCAAGCTCCTCCAATACACCGGGGACCTGCTGCGGCAACCCTCAGGCCTCAGGCTTCCTTCACAACTCACACTGCTCGACACGGAAGACTGCAACAATGCCTGAAGAGTCATGACCACAGAGGAAAAGAAGAAAAAGATGCCCACCAGTGCCTCGAACACTGCATATCTGTGGCCTCATGCGACCCTGGAAGATCGTGCGTGGTAAGGGCCGTGCCAAACTTAGCAGCAGTGGCTTAGCAGACCTCGCAGCGCTGGGAGCTTTCGGTGACCTTCTCTCTTCAACTCTATTCCTCGGTAGTGGTTGTCCGCCCAGCTGTATTCCATGTGCAGCCTTACATGGAGGTTCGGCTTGTTCAACCTACGCATTTTGGAGTACTTCGGCTCGGAAATGATCCCCAAGCCAGGGCTCCGAAGCCCTAACTGGCCCTAACCCTGCAGACTAGAGAACTTAACCTCTCAACCCTAACACGGCCCTAATCCTAAACCCTACAAGCCCCCAAAAAAGGCCCTAAACCCTATAAGCCCCCAAAGAAGGGCCTAAACCCTATAAGCCCCTAAAACCTAAACCCTATAAGCCCCCATAAAAAAGGCCCTAAACCCTATAAGCCCCCCCAAAAAGGCCCTAAACCCTACAAGCCCCCCAAAAAAGGCCCTAAACCCTATAAGCCCCCTTCCAAAGGGCCACAACTCCTTGAGATCTGCTTGGGCTTTTGCCGGCCTGGCGAGGCCCATGAGCGCGAGCTCGGCCGCCGAAGAGCGCCGGAGCAGCTTCTGACGGGGATCTAAAGATAGGGTTTAGGGTCTAGGGTCTAGGGTTTAGGGGTCTAGGGTTTAGGGTTAAGGGTCGAGGGTTTATAGGGTTTATAGATGATACCATGTCATGTAATGCAATAGAAGTAGTATTGTAACATATAACACAATACAACACGTGTATGAAAATAGAATAGAGCAGACTATGATACACTAGATCATGATATGATGTCGTAGGAGATAGCATACTATTTTCTAACAGAGTATAGGAGAATACTGTATAATATAACGTAACACAACAAGATAGAACACAATATAAACATGATATAATTATAAACGTAATAATAGATATGAGAACACCATGATGAGGCTTGGACTGAGGGCTCGAGTGCTGGTTTGGGGCTCGGTCGCATGAAGATGCTAGGGCAGGACATGATTGAATCTTGTAGGGTTTCGGCTTAGGGTAGTGCGTTATTGCGTGTTGATGCAACTTTCGCACAGAAGCAATTGTCTTTACTTTAGAATTAGAACAGCCCTCATATAGTTATGTGCTATATACTATACAGTACAGGTATTTACCATATAAGGAGCCCAGGAGAGCTTTCGCGAAATCGGCTGGCAATGCTGGGGACCGTGCTACGCAGACACGAGCCGCTCGGAAGAGGCGCAGTCCACGCAGAGGGCGAATCCAAACCAAAGCTGACAAGGGGTTTAGGGTTTAGGGTTTAAGGAGGCTTTGGGGCTGTGGGGGGTTTTGGGGGGTTTGGGTTTAAATTGAGGGCTTTGGGGTGCAGGGTGGACTGTCCATGCGCCCGATGATGACCACAGACATGTGCAATGACTTTGAAATTAGAGCAGCAACTGGTCAAACTGCCGGGATGGAGACCACCACGACAACGAAAACAAAGACTGGGGAAAAAATACTATATATTATATACTATATACAATAAATAAATAAATAAACATATATATATATATGTTGTATGGATTATCTATATATGTATACATATATATATATGTATACAAATATGACTATATGCCACGTACCCTATACTGTCATTGTCTACTAGGCTGCCGATAGTGCCGGTACCTGGAGACGAAGAAGGCTGCAGCGCTGACCAAAACCTGGGCAGTGAGATGGGAAGTTCTACATAAGGGGTCCCTTTTTAGGTTCCCAACTTCCCTAATTTAGAGAGCTACCCAGATGGGAGTGTCTAAGAGTAAGGGGTTTCCTTCTTGGGGGTCCCTTGACTCAGATCCTACAATTAGTCAGGTTCTACTTTTGTTGAGACGAGCTCCTGAAACCAATGTCAACAGAGGCATGCAAACATCGTGATACTCACAGCAGTTTCAATAAGCTCGCGCGGGGTTCATGCTTGAAGAACCCTGCAGGACTGGGGTATGGACACCTCAACGAAAGATCCGACCACGACAATGCCGTCCATCACGAGGATCCTGTCACAGTAGCTGGCGATGTTGACGTCCGCACCGACTCCCGAGGCGACGGCCATGAGAAGCCACGACCAATTTGAGCAATGCAGCGCGCCTTGCGGGATGGTTGTCCGACATGTCCGAATGCAAAAGCGACTGGGCTGCCGGCTAGGAATTCCACTCCGAAGGTTGTGATGATGGCCGACGAAGCGCCACGCCTTGGCAGTGATGGAAATGAAGTACCCCTGCAGCCAAGAATGGTATCCCACAGCTTGAGTTCAGTGCAACAAGAGATCAGCATCATCAAGGCTTCCATCCTGTGCCGACGGCAAAGGAGTCCTAAGCCTCGCCGCCCCCCCGGCCAGCCCCCAGCCTCTGACTGCCACTCTTGCTGCAGAACGAGGCAGGCCTGCTTCCAAAAAAAGTCGCTGAGGACTTGCACCCGGGTTCCGGCCCTGAGAGCTGCGCTGTATCAGCCAGGACGAGCAAAGCGATCATGACGTCAAAGAAGGCCGTCCCTCCCAAAAAAGTGGACGACCCCTCTGTCTTGGCGTGCATAATTGGAGCTGCCGAAGCCTGTGATTTCTCGCATTGCGACACGGAACCTCGGTAGCTCTTTGCAGAACTGCAGCGGACAGATTGCAGGCACGCAATCGAGAACTTGTAAGTGACTTGCGCAAGGTAGAAAGGGGGCCCGACTGGGAGATCCTCCGTTGAACTTGCTTGGACCTGCCACCATCATGCACTGAAGGGAACCATAAGCCACGGTCGTCCAGGGCAAAGGCTGCTTCAGCAGGGCACGCCTTAGGGCTTCCGGTTGTATGCCCTGCACTGCCCCAGGCTCGGTGCCCGACTGTGTGTTTTGATTCATCATGTCCTGCCAACCAGATGCAGATGCTTCAAGCGGGACGAAAGCTCCGGGTTCCTGCATGTGAAGCTTCGCTGCCATGCCATCGACATCCGCTGAAAACGAGGCTTCCTGAATTCTCTTGCGGGACCACAGATCTTGCATGTGCAAATTGGGTATGAAGTGCGCAGCGCGGAAATGCGCAGAAAACGAAGCTATGGGTGCACGAACCACATCTTGTGGACCCTGGCGAAGCATACATTCTGCATCCAGACTCCTGCTCCGCTTCCAAACTGCAAGTGTTGCCATGGCTGCTTCACTGCACAGTTAAATCTGTGAGAATCAGCTAACTAGAGTCCCTTCTACGCTAGAGACAGACATAGATAGACATAGACAATCGTAGACTCCTAGTACCAAGTTCACCCAGGAAGAATTCCCAGGGCTCATGCCACATGCGAGGATGCCAGCGGATCGCCCCCGACATTTCCTTGGACCTGGCAGATACATGTAGGGGGTCGGGGGTGGCAAAATGACCCAACATGCACTTTTTCAAAGTGATCCGTGAGGTCAACAGCAAGAGCCGGTGAGCCAATGCGAGCCATTGTCGGCCTGCCGCGCCGCCTCCGACTTGTGGGCCCCGGCGCCGCTTACGAAGGACGGCAACGCGCGGGCGAGATCCATGGCTATCGCGGGACGCCCATTTCTGAGACCGTATAGAGACATTGAAGACTTGCAACCCTGAAACAAATGCTGGTGGCGCAAACACGTGTGTTGTCAGTGCTCCTTGGATATCCACAGTGCCAGACAACCCCTGCAAAGCTTGTGGGCAAATGCCATGAGGTCGTCTGACTCAAGCAGAGGCTGGTGCACCCCCCAAGCAGATCCAAATCAAAACTTGACGTTAGCCAGCTCTTTCGTCTGCCTTGCCTGCAGAACTGCCTGGGCTTGTGGGATCCAGGGGGATGTGCCGGGTGCTGGCGCGATGCGACATGCAAGCGGCTCACGCCCAAGGACCTCTTCACGTAGGGGAAGGTGGCTAAGGCTACAGCTGCCAACACAGCCTTGACCATGAGGCGCTTCGTGCAAGAGCCCGAGGCTGGCGTCCAAATAAAGAACTCGGTTCTTTCTCTGATCAGGGAAAGATTCAACTGCCTGCTTGGTGCTTGCCACTCTCGTGTTGACGGTTGCATATGGATCAGTTGAACGGGGTGACAGAATGGAGCTTGACTCGTCATCACCAGCAACACTGACGACCTTCGGAGGAGGAAGCAGTGGGACCGTCACCGCGTTCTGCTCCACGTACATTCGAGAGCGGCGTTCTTCGTCAGCTTGCGATGCTGTGCCAGGAGCCTCCCGGGGGCCCGGGCCGCTCAGGGCCTGTTTGATTTTCGAACCCGGGCCCAGAGCCGCCAGATCCAGCGTCGGCGCCTCTTCCCGCTTCACGGCCGGGCGATTCCCGGCTCTTTCGGCCCTTTCGGCTTCGAGCTCGGCCCGCAGTTGCTGGGAAAGCCTCTGCTGGAGCTCCAGGCGCATCTCCAACTGCAACTCACCCTCGCTTGGCCCGCGGAGCTTCGAGGTTTCCGACTGGATCACCAAGCTCGCGGAGCGGCTCTCGGCGAGCTGCTCCTTGGCCTCCGAGAGCTGCCACTGGACCTCCTTCAGAAGCCTCGCCGTCCTCGCCGAGCTGTCCTGCCACTTCCAGGGAGACGGATTTGTTTATACTGCCGCTAGCTAGAATCCGCGAGAACTTCGCCCGGCCTCGTGCAATCGATGCAGGAGGACCGCATGCTGTGACTCCAGCTGTTTGCACCGCACCTGCGTGGCATGCAGCTCCTGAGAACCATGGCAAGCAGGGGCCGTGTGGCTCAGACTCTTTGACCGAGTCAATACCGAGTCGTGCAATACGTTTTAGGCCGTTTTGGTTCGACGGTGCAACGTCGAGTCTGTGTTCGCTAGAAGGGATGCTATGCTAATCACGGGCAATTTCCGACGGCGGATTGGAAGAATGCACAAGGAAGGGATACGATGTGTGGTCCATGCGCAAATTTCAGGCAAATTCAACAACAAATCGTCGACCAGCTAGACTTATCTGCCTGCAATGAGACTCGTGGCCTACGGTATGCCACGGGATTCCACTCGCAAGAACAGACTCAACTCTGGCCTACTACGGACAGCATAGCCAGCTTGCAATAGGTGTCCTTCCGCAAGCCGTGCACAGTCCTTAGATCAATGCCATGCACATACTCTCCGCCAACACTGGCAGTATTTTGCTTGTCAGTTCTGTGGCCTTGCTGCTCCTGAGCTATTCGTGAAGCCTGCACTTGTATGAGTTGGGTGTCGCCTCCGCTTGGAGATGCTCCTGCTTCCAGACGGACGCCCGTGTCCGCGAATCAGCCAACTCTTGGCAAAGCGCTTGTGACACGGCCTCTGTCTCTGGCCCCACCTCAGAAGAGAGGAGCACACAAACGGACTGGACCATCTGACAGAGAGTTGCCTAAGCTTGTCGTTTTCGGTTCCTGTCGGACATGTCTTTCGGCACATTTCTGCACCTGCTCCTTCGTCGAGGCTTTCTGCGCCTCGTTTGCGCTTTGCAGCTCCTCGGTGACCTCCAGCAGCCGTTCCAGCAGAACCACGTTCTCCTTCGCGTGATCGCAGGGCGGCACGCCCTGCGTCTGACAAACAGTCGGCAGCATCTTCTCGTAAAGATCCTGCATGAGGCGGTGCTTGCTCGCAAAATTCCTGTGCTCTTGCTCCAAGAAGTGGTACTGCTGTAATCGAGATTCAGAGGCCGCAAGCTCGTCCATCAACTCGGCCACTTTGCTTTCCCATGTCTCCTGAGCCTCAACGGCTTCTGTGGCCACGGCCCTGGATGTGTGCCTCTCTATTTCCAGGGTGCGCTCCAGGGATTGTGCCCTCCTCCAGGCTTGGTCCCGTTCTTGCTGCACTTCGCAAAGCTCCGAAGTCGCCAGCCTCTCCGAAGTGATCATAGAGGGCAGGCTGACTCCGGGAACACCAGCGTAGAGGCCCCGACTTTCTGCTACGTTGGACCTGCAGCAGTCCACTGCAGAAGCAGGACTGCGCACCGGACTGCCCGTGAGCATCTTCCATTCCAGCAGCCTATGTGCAAATGCAAAATTCTCGACGGTCAGCCTGCGGTCCACAAACTAAGTATGAGTCTATGAGTCCTTCAGACCTGTCATGCATCTTTCAAGAGCGCTTTTACCGGAATGGAAACCTGTGCTTGCTTGACAATGTTGAATCCTGGATGGATAGATGATACAGAGCTGATACAGAGCTGTCTGCGGTTACTCAGGGTCTCTGGCCTGGCAATCGCGAGCCCAACGGCTTGATGAAACACATAAAGTGAAAAGACGGAGAGTCCATCAATTCTGACTAGGGATCCTTGTGCTCACGAATCCGTGACTCGTAGAGTCGTAGAGGCACCGCTGCTAAGCCTTTGGGGTGTTGCTTGAAAGTCTGGGGTTTCTTGTTTGAGGGCCTCTCATATTGTAGGACCCGGCAGAGCCCCCAGACCCAGCACTCAGAGGAAAGCTTCCAGTTTGCCCAATCCAAATTCTCTTGAGGCTGTGGGCGCGAAGCGGCTCCTCCCACGCGCTGGTACGTCGATCTAGGCACAGCAGCTGTCCGTTCTGACATCCCGAGCACTGCTGTCAAACACATCTTCGAGTGCCTTTTGAATTTTGTGCTTGGCGATCACAGGCTGGTTGCTGCGCTTTTTTCCGCCCTCTGTACACGTCTCGGGCAATTCTGCATGCACGCATGCACCAGCAGCTAGGGCAGGTCTGCGTGTTGGAAGCAATGAATTGGTTGAACCTTCCCCGAAAACCCTTGCGACCTTGAACAAAGGTCCACCAGCGTAGCTGCTGTGCTCCATACAGACGCGCGGCCCTCAAAAGTCGCCTCGCCGGCGATCTCCAGGAAGGCCTCATGCTGCGGTTCACGGAATGCGGAATCAGCGAAAGTCTCCAGAGCTAGGTGACGGGCCCCTTGCCAGCCGGAGGGAGGGCAGCTTCGTGCGAATGCAAATGCGACACACGACTGAGG